CACGGTCGTGGATCAAAGTTTGCGAGGGATCATGTTTTCCTCCGACTCGACGAGGATGTCCCTTCGAATTTCCGCGCTCGTAAGAGTCGTAAAAGCCTCCATTTCTGAAGAGCTCTCGACGTCGCCGTCTCGTTCGCGAAAGCTGCAGAAATGAGGGTCGAGGGGGAGGAGGCGCAGGTGGCGTGAGGGGGGAAGAGGGGCAATACCTCGACGGAGGGTGTGCTTTCGATATATTTGCAGACTACCGGTACACGTCACGTTGGCATACTGTGCACCAACAGATTCGCGGCAAATCTCGGAAAACGACCGACAGCTGTGACGAATATCTCGCTGCCGCGGTTTTTCGCGCCGTTGTCCGGAAACTTTTTCCTCCCCCGCGTAAGCTCTCGTGCCGCCGCCGTCGCATACGCGCCCGCGAATCAATACCGACGGGAAGTAAATTCGAAATTCGTCGTAAACAAAGGACGTGATATTTTTATGTCGACAACTCAAAAATTGTTAATTCTGCATTGTATATAATCGATTTTGTTATTGTACATTTAAAAAATATATATATATATACACACATCTATTTCTGGATCATTATACTATAAAACTTTCCATAAATTTCGATTTTTTGTGAAATACAAGACATCTTCTGATAATTAAATACATTTTGCTTTTCTTTAAAATATTATTCTTATACAAAAATATATTTTATATTTGTGTAGAATGTTTATAATTTTTTAAAAATTACAATAAAAAACATGACAAAACAGAGATTAATATTTATATCATATTAATCTATGATTTTAAATGAAATATGACATTGCATATAGAGAGTTACAGCATATAAGTCCCTCTGTTATTTCGATTAAATGCAGATATGGAAAATATAAGGAAAATTCAAAGAAAAACGTATTTATTTTATTAGCTTAGAAAAAAAACTAGAAACTTTCAGGAAATAATTAATACAAAGATTCATGAATTTATTGCACTTTATTACAAACGACAGGTGATAGAGCGTAAATGTTCATGCCTACTAACAATTATTAATTTTAAAAGGGCTGAGAATATTATTCATAAAGATATATATGTTTTCACTTGTTAATTAATAATCAATATAAATCATGAATATTTATTTCAATACTTTTATGTAAAAAATGAGAATCAGTTTTTATATAAAATAAAAAACGATTCGTTCCCTTTGATACTTAAAAACAGCTTATACAATGAGTCAGTAATTTTCCTAATATTGTATTTTAAAGTCAATTTTTCAGTGTCAATCAATTCTTAAGTCACTTACTTGAAAAATTGTATCCTCATATACAGTCATATATAAATACCGCAGATACAGCGAAAGAAAACTCGATGGTATATTATTTGAACATAAAATGGAACTCTTAATTATCCACGGCGTTTCATCAGTTTTCTGCAGTCTTGCATCGTTCTAGCACTTGCCATCGAGATCGACAGCTTGATAACAAATGATACGACGCAAAAAATAGATTGTCCGGAAAGGACGAAGAACGACAGGATTTCCGATCCTTTCGTTCTTAACGCACACCATCATTTATCCTCACGAAAGTTTCCTCCTCACAAAAGATTATATAGGGTGAGAAAAAAGCGATTCCTTTTTTGTTTTATTGCATGAATTATATTCCCTCCACAAAACTGTAAAACTTTTATTTGAAACGTGTTTCGACGGATACTCGATTTCCGATATATCTGAAAATCACGATATTTTTTTCTCATTTTCTAGAAAAAAAAACGGTTTATTATATAAGCGTTTAGTTGCAAAATTAGATTCGTGTTCTGCTGTGCGTGTCGGATTTCATTTAGGGAAAGAAAGAAATTAATTCCCCAGAGAACAAAAAAAATGTGACACGAGGAATGCACGTCTTAAAATATTTTCTCGTATTTCAATTGTGTCAGAAACAAATATGTGTACAGCTCGTTCTCCATGCATCTATCGCATCCAGATTTGCATTCACCGCAATTGCGGCGGTTTTCATTCCCTGGCTACAATATGCACGTAACGTGTAATCGTCGTCCCAGGCAATTACTGAATTGTCCCAAATTCGTATAGCCGATTCGTAGCCAAATATGGTCGCCGTCGGTTGCAAATATCGCTGAACGAAGCGCCAGAACAATCGTATAACAACTCCGATTGATTTGTCGATGCGAAAGCGTCGAGTCACACGGGGCTCCCGTTGGTTGGGCATATAGAGTCGACGTGCTCGACGGAAGCTGCGAAGTCATGGATCTATTTTCGGGCTCTCGCAATCGGCATTTACATTCGAATGTAAATCCGGCGAAGTAGGCGGTTTTCGCGGAAGCTCGATTTCCCTCTCTGACAGCTCCGTCATCCGCTTCTAATCAATGCTGACCGCGTTCCCGCGCGATTTAATCGCACGATCCTCCGTTTCAATCGTCGTAATGACGAAGCGAAACCTCCCCTCCGCCCTCCCCCGTCATCCCGAGAACTCTCTCTTTCTTCCTTTCTTCCTTCCGTTGCATCACGTTCATCGTCGTACGCAAACTTTTCTGCGGCCGCGCAAAAACCGAAGGAAATCGAATTCCGCGCCGTCGCGCTCATTTATCTCGCGTTCTTTGTCCGCGTTATCGACTACCCCTGCCCTACCCGGCCGTGCCGCGCCAGCCAGGGGCTGACGGATAAGAAGCGATAAGGCAGCCAACGGCGCTATAGGACGTCACCTTGCGAGAGAGAACAATTTCGCTCGCAGCCATCGATGGAATATAGAAGATAAGCGCGACGGACGGGGATCTCGGTGGTCTTCATAAATGCATGAGAGACCCTTGGTTGCACTTTGCAATTTTCCAACGCTATTTTTATTCTGTCGTTCAACCCCGCGCGACCTGCGCGTTGTTCAACATTCGACTACAACTTTTCGTGCAATATCGACAATCTCTCGCACATTTATGTACTTTGATGTTCACCACCTCCTTCGCCTCTCCGCGGCATATTTAATTTTAAGGCAAGAGCAAATTTAATAAGCACTGATTTAAAGATATTAAATCCAGTCTTCGGTGCGTCGCCTAGCCACGCCGCGTTCAATATTCCTGTCAGAAGTTTCGCGATTGCGAAATATCGGGGATATTTAATTAAACGTAGGAGAGGTGCGAGCAGGTATATATTGAAGTTTTTCGCATAAAATATTACTCGCGCTCGTCGTACGTATTACATCAGCGAATCCATAATAGCCATGCTTGCTTTCAACATTTTTTCCTTCCCCGGATGTTTAAATAAAAGTTGTAGCTTTTAGATTCCTACGAGACGTGGAGAGAGCGGTGAAGCAGACGGTCAACGCGTTCTGTCTTTTTAATTTTTCAGCAGATCGGAAGTATTTTCTTTGGAATTAACTTCTCCTGGATAAATATCCCGATCCATTTTGGTCATTACCGAGAAGACGATAAGCTGTTCGCAAACGCGCGGATGAATCTTTGGCTATTTCGAGTCGAAAATTACTTGGGGTAAACAAGCGGACTAAAATTTATACGTCAAGGTCCGATCGTCGCAATTTCGTTAACGAAAAGGAAGGGCCGTGTGTCCGTGTGATGTCTACAGACAATGTTGCAATAAAGCGTCGGTCTCCGTGGCTTCATCTAAATATAGGCGACTAATGGAATTGAGATAAATTCAACGAGCTGGCAAACATTGCGGAGCTCCCGCCGTCCGCGTGGCTCACGTTGATCGCCGGTTTCACGGCCGCTGGTAGATAACGATATAAAAGGGAGAGAAGTTCTCCCTCCCTTTCCATCTGTAAAAGTATCATGGCAGTTTATCCTAAGAATGTGTGGAAATGTTTGTTCGTTATTGCGTTCTCGCTTGAAATTACGCGTAAACTTTCCTCGATTGTCTGAACGTGAATGGAAGAGACATTGAGAGAGAGAGAAAATTCGCTATCTCCAAGATATTTCACTACCCACTGCCGCGTTATTTCTTAATGACAGATTTTTTGATAAAAAAATGTTGAAGAATTTTGCCATTATTTATTGCAATTTTCAATTTTTAATAATTAACAGCGATTGAATTTTTATAAAACATCAAAATAAAATTTTACTTTATATTTGTACGTATTTTTTAATTTTTAGGGGAGTAAGTTTCCTTACAAAATTAAACAATACCGTGATAGAAGTAAGGTATTTCACTTGTAAGAAATCTCGTTTTGCGCAGAACCATTCATTTTTAACGTTAAATAAATCTTTGTGGCTGTACGTTATCGTTAAACAGCAAACAAAGTCAAAGTTGGGCGGAATGAATGCGCCTCTGCATTTCGATGCGGAACTTTACGAAACATCCTGTTTACGAGCATTCGCTCCTTAGTGTACGCATGACATCACGAAACGTTATGCAAACGAGAGAACTCTTGCACGGGCTGTAGCTTCAATAAATCTGCAGCGAGAAGTTTATCAAGGCGAACGGGAAAGAGCTGTCGTTCGGCGTCCCACATTTACGCGGGCCGAATGCCCGCGGATTTCTCGTATTTATCAATTTCACGGTGAAGCTCGGGAGGCCTTTTTTCTTTGGGGGTCACAGACAGCGATGGAGCGAGCCACCATCAATCCTCCGGCTCGCGTGTTCCAAAAGTGCGGCACTTAGGAGCAGAAAGGGCCTGCCATTTCGGCGGAGGTCTGCTGCACGGAACGTTCCGCGCCGTACGTGTGGAGACTCGTACGCGCGCGACGTCGAATCTACGTGGAAATAAATCGCGGCGACGTCGAATCGCCGTCGTTCCATTTTCATTCTCGCGAAAGATCAACGCACCCTCGCGACATAGAGGGATACAGCGCGAGATACGGCGCGAGTGATTCCCACTGGTGCGCGACCTATATGTCGCGAATGGCAAAATCCTTCACCCGCGCGAATAGTGATTAATCGTCCGATTAACTGCACAAAGGGCGAGATGAAATTGGCAACGAGTGTATTCATTTCTTCTCTTTTTTTTCCATCGCGCGCAAAATGGAGATTTTCAAGCTCGTTCTCGCGTGACGTTTCCGATCGCGCGTGTAAAATAGTAACTGATAGGGAAGAGAACCCGTATGTCGTTTTTCGTTCACAAGAACGATACGTGGATCAGTCGAACTGCCACTATCGAAAACTTCTTTTGTTCAGAAATCTAAGAGCAACGCGATGGAATTAATACAATAATCAATTGACTGCGTTAAGTATTTAAAGTATGCATTCCATATTTGCTATACTTGGAAGTATCGGGAAAAGTATCAAAAAAGTATACAAAAAAGAAACTTTTTTCAAAAACTTAAATAAAATATTTTCTTCCATCTGACAAATAAAATAACAATCTGAAATTTATAGATATTTGACTTATTACAAAGAGAATATAAAATAACGAGTTTAATATTAGTAAAATAATTTAAATGACAAAATCTAATATATAAAATCTATAATATATAAAATTAAATCACTGACATTATATATAGGAAACCTGTTAATGCGAAAGTGTCTTAATGCGGATATAGGGAGAAGGCAACGGCAATCCCTTAATCAGTCTCCGACGTGAGACGTTATTGGGTCCTCGATCGACACATGAACGCGAAGACGGTCTCGAGTCCTAAATCGAGGAGAATCGCCGGAAACTGGCGGGGCGGGGAGGGAAGGTCTTATCGATTTCCCAGAAGCCCGGAAGGTCTAGCCTTAGGAGGAAGAGGCTTCCTACGAGAGGGGTTTCTCTCGCCATTTCCCTCCTCGCAAGCGCGCAAGAGGGTTACCGGGAATCTCTCCTCCGCGGTAAGAGAGACGACCGCGGGATATCTTTTTGCCGGTTTCTATTTCCCGGGAAAGTCACGATTTCTTCGAATAAGCCCGGTTTATGTGCAAGCGCTCGGAGAGACCGCCCCCGCGAGTTGAGGAACTCGCAAAAGAAGCCGCGAAGAGTTGGCCCTTTCTTTTCTTACCCGTCTCATTTCGTTTTTACGACCGCGCCTCAAGACACTGTCGTGTATATCTCGCGATCGCGTCGTCGTCGCATAATTTAATTGTCGGAATCGCCGACTGTGCAGAATCGTGCGACCTGCTGGCTTGCTTGCTTGGTTGCTTAATCGCCGACACATTTGCCTCGCGTTTCTCACTTCATTTTGATAAATTGCACGTCGTATAAATTTTTTAATCATCGCGTAAAGTGTGTAATGACACGTTAGGGAATTCTGACTCACGGAAGTAATTTTCCACCTTGCATATAATAAGAGACATATTTGAAGAAAGAAAAAGTTTAAATGATATTTTATAAGATGTTTAAACAATAACGATAATGAAGGTAGTCTTGAAATTTATCCGGCGGCACTTATTGTTAGACCTACATTCAGCAGTCTTTAATTCCAATTGTAAGAAATCTTGTGTCTCATTAAAAACTATGGCAGTTATTTGAAACAAAGTAATTGGAAATATTTCAGAGAATTTTTACTTTTATAATTTTATAACATAACATTTTTCTAACATTTTACATTTTAAATTGACCTTATTCAATTTTTTAATATGTACAGGAAATTTCACTAAATAAACAGAATTGTGCTTGACCATCGGTTCGCCGTGACTTAAGCTATCTCGAAATAGTTTCGATAACTTCTTTTCACAATCTTACAAATTTTCTAACTCATAAATGGAATATAGAGAGAGTCTCAGTTTTTTCCTCGGCTTTCTTGTCAGATTTCAATGGGCGAAGGAAGTTCTTTCTGAGTATGCCGTAGGTTTCTTCTTCCGCAAAGCGAAAGTTCTCCATGAAAGTTACAAAGCGGGCGAGTTGACGTAACGTATGGATCCGTTTGTTGTCGTGTTCGCCGGATAGGGAAGCAAAAGTAACAGTATTTGCTAGATTCCGGGGAAAAACAGCGGTGTCATATTTTACTGGGCGATCCTTCGCGTCATCGCCAGAAGTTTCTTTCGCCCGCGCCGCCGCGTCGATTGAAGCTCCTTTCGACCGCGCTTCCCTATTCTACTCGCGGAGAGAGATCTCCGTTATCCTGAACAAACTTTATTTGGCGGAAGCGAGAATTAATTTTTATGGGCAATCTTAGGAGCTCGCGATCGATTTGCGATAATGGGATCGATAATGGAATTGGCTGCGGCCCGTCGCAAATAGCGTTATAACAAGTTTATGCTAATTTAATGATTAGGCTGGGAAACTGTTAAGTCGATCCCAAAGAAAATTATAATTGCAAATTATAGTGCGCGCTGTTTATGATACAACTTTATTTATTGCGGTTCAAAATTTTAACATGTTTTTTCTTTTTGCGCACACCACTTTTCTATCTCGTGTAATTTCGTTTTTTATTCTAATGCAGGAGCATTTTATCTGACTGTAAAATATTTTTATGTTTCAGTTTTTAGCCGGGGGCGATCATGACAGGAACATACCGGAGATCGGTGAGTACCGCTAGAATGAATAATGCTTTCCTATTGATTTCACTCTGTTTTCCATTATCCTCTTTTCCTTTCTTTTTCCTTATGTCCGTAAGATTATTCTCGTTACCTCGAGACTTATTCCAAAGGCTGTATCTCGGAAATGGAAATTCGCTAACTTTTGTTATCAGAAACAGAATGAAATGATCTGCAAATTTATTTGCATTGTCTGACAATAAAGTTTGCAATATGATAAAATAGTCTAGCGAGAGAAAATGAATTCTAATAAAAAGGAAATACGGTTATCAAAGTTTACGACATATTTATGGTGTAACATAAATAATATTCTCTCGGTATCCTATATACAATAAACACAGCAAATATATCTCGTAGTAAATATACAGATGGCGAGATGTATATATGTACCGCGTCGATTACTTGTCAAAGTAACAAGAAGCGATGGGGGCTTTCCTGCGTCAAATGCACTTAGCGTAATTTAAAAGTATAGCCCATCGGGCTTTACATATTGCCAATAACAAGCCGCATGAGAATTAAACCGGCGCGACATGCATATTCAGGAATTATTACCGCTACTAATCGGCGGCATGGGGGGGGGGAAGGGCAGAATCAGTCCCCATAAATTTCGCGTTCGGCATGCATCGCGCGCGACAAATTTTCGCAGTGGAAAAATGCATATGAAGGCAAAAATCCTCGAATATGTACTCTCGATTCGACATAAGAGATTCGACGGATGATAAATCGTCCGCTATTGGCAAGTTCAACATTCTTATTATTCCTCCCCCCCCCCCCCCGCCGTGTGTGAGCCCAGGAAACTTTAAACGTGCCCCGCATCGTGTGTGTTTCGTATACACGTCGTTGATCACAATGAACGATCATCCGTGCGCGGACGCGGGGAAAATAGCCGCGGCGTCTTACGAAAATATTTATGGAGAGCCGGTATCCGATGCGCGATATCGAGGCGTGTCTGAGTTACTTCCAAGATCGACGGGGAAATATCGGCGGAAATATCTCAGCCGGGAGGGGGAAATCTCGTTTGGCGCGGTCGCTTATTCGCGCGTCTATTAAAATCTCTCTTCCGCTCCGTTTGAGTTTCTCATTAGAATTCGGGGAAATTCCTCGACGCCGACGACATTCGAAGATAATTATCGCGCTTTGTTCCGCGGTTATATTTTCTATTTCTCTTTTTTTTTTCAAGCGCCCTTTTTTCAGAAAATTACTCAGAGAAGACTCGTTTTTTAAGCTTATCTGAGAAACCAACGTTAATAACTTTGCTATAACGTTTATTAACTTCGTTCGCGATACGCTTGTTAAAGGATATTTCGCGCGTGTAGCCGTCGAATATTCACGCGTTGACAGCTGACAATGGCCCGTTCAACCGCGATACCGTCCTCGTTATTCACGCATCATTTGTCTCGTATCCCAGTAGGTCTCCCATTATATTTCTGATATTCCGTCAGAAACGTCAACACGTATCGAAGGAAAAGGAACGTGTAAGACGTACAAAACGACGAGGTGAAGGTATATTCTCGCGAAACTGTTATTCCGTTTACCGCGAAAGTTACATTAAAATAATGAGATTTTTATCACACGAATGTGATAGATCCTATGACACAGATATATAGTTTTTAGTTAGAGATACGTAAACGAAATTAATGTAGATCTAGATATCGTGTTATTGAATTATACGAAACAAAAAATATGCAATATCTCCAACAAACTTCTTGCAGCAATTTTTGTGACAAAGTGAAAAAAACGCAATTACGGAATTACGACATAATGAGGTAAAAACATTGAAAGAAATTGAGGGAATTGAGGGAAAGCGCGTAAATGAATTTCTAATCTATTCCAGAACGGATTGTAGTGCAAAATGCAATTAAAATAATGAGCCAGTGCATAAATAATAATTTATTAAACCAACGAAATACTGAAATAAATAACAGGGAGACTGAATCTTTTATTAAATTCGTACTTTTATTAATTAAATCCATATAAATTTTATAAACACAAACTGTTTGATATTAATCACCGCGTATAGGAATTGAATTTCCGACGTGACACTCACATCGTGTAGTTCAAGAGCGTTTCGTCATAAACAATTAATTTGTAATTCAGCATTATCTGAGGATGTCAATACAATGCGCGAACAATTGCGCCGCAAGTATCATGAACGAGGGAACACGATCGCTTCATGAAAGATTTATAATTACACGTCGGCGAGGGATGAGCCCGCGTCGAATCCTAATGGTATCCTCGACATGATTCTGAGCCATTTTAGCCGGCTGCCGGTGGATGGACCTAGCTCGTTAGTCGCCAAAGCCGCGGCTTTGTAACCCGAGGTTGACTTCCAATTCGCCCAGCACGCGCGCGGACATTCGGACGTACAAGCCGAAGGATCACGCCCCGGACCGGCTTCTGCTTCCGACGATTGTTTACACAGGTCCCTGCGAATTGCTACTTTACATAGCTCGGGTACCCGATGCTATAGTAAGTATAATACACGGCGCCCGGCATTACAGGAACGCCAAACTGCTGCCGCTCTCTCACTGGGATGTTACACATTCACGATGGCCCGTAATACAATTGATCCCGGCGAACGTCAGAAGCACTAATTGTAACGTCATGTACGGCGATTCGAGCCCTGGTCATACGAAACGAGCGCGGATTTCCGTCGTCAAATAATCCGCTTTTTTTGCGAAATCTTATCTATCTGCCACGCATATTGAATTTATCTGTGCTATATTAATAACGTTATCAGTTGAATTTATTATTATTATCGATTCAAGGAAAAACGAAAGCTTTCGAAGAATACGCCAATATTGTACGAGCGCTTGTACATTTTACGAATTGCGAACGTGCACTCGCGATATTGTATGAATTTGCAATTCTAACCTTTTCGTCAAGTAGTCCAGGTTGTTTTACCTTGCGAATGATCGCGAAATAGAACACATCGCGTTATTAATGCAGCGCGGCGATTTTTTTGCGTCTGGAAACAGACTCGGCGCGAGAAAGGCGAGAAAAAGGCAGACATTTGTACATGTAATTACTCATTCTGAATATGCATAAACTTACGCTTCGGCGAAACTCGTCGTAACAAAGATCCAACATTATGGTTTTTCCTCTTATATGATGGAGAAAAATATCGCCACAGGAACATCCCTCGGAAATGGAGGCCTCTGTCTCTCCTGACACGTTTCTCGTCACCCGCGTAAGAATCCTCGCCGAGGTGTCTTCAGCAAGAAGCCCCGGCGCCCCCGAACATTATCCCGCGCATTATCCCTCGAAATTTTTTCCCCCAGGATGGTCCATCAGGAGTTGTAACGGGAACTGACTCGACGGCTCAGAGAAAGAGAGACATCCGGGGCTATCGGATTTCTAATGACCCAAAACTTATCCGGCCGTTGTTCGATTCACCTAACTTTTCCATCGCGGCTAATGTGCTTTTTCGCTGGTTTCATCCTAAAACACTTTCCTCGGGGTCATATTTCTGAATTCTGATTATGTTACAAACGTTCTCTTTACTTCTCGCCGATTATTAGTTTTGTTTTTGGACTCGTTTAACTTTCAGATATTGATTTTTGCCAAACTTACGATTAATGCGCCAGAAATAAATTGTATAAAATTAAATACCCTCGATTATTATAAAAAAATTAGATTTTTATTTGACTATCGAACAATATTTATTTTTTATTTACCTTTTTGCAGATCGGATTTTTGAACAACAATTATTAATTTATTTGACTTTAACGTTTAATTATATTTCTCTGAATTAAACATTCTTTTTATATAATTTATATGTATTTTGAAATATTTATCAATATTAATATTAATAAATATTCGAAAACATTTATTAATCAATAATAACAACTTATTAATTAATTTTAAGCCGATATCACATTCGTTAGTTTAATAGCTTAAAATCAGTTTTTTTATTATTTATCCGAAATATTTAATATAAATACATATTTGTCTCTTATATGATACATATATTCTGAAAGAATTGAAATGTTTCTTTTTAATAATAAGAATTTTAAAATTTTGTATACAAATTTTATATATGTATATTTTTTTATAGTTATGCTTGCAACATATAGATATATATAAAACACACATAGAATACTATATAGAATAATTGGAGAAATAGAATGTTTTTTCTAGTATATATTTTTAGCGAATAAAAGCAACACGAGTAATTGATTTATATATAGCTGTACGCGATGTTACATCGTACAAAAAACATACGGTAAATTGCAAGAAATTCCACGGGAGTGGTTCATCTCAGGAGTACAAATTCCGTTCCCTCCCACGAAAGCTAAACAGGCATTACAAGCAGATACGGTCCGCGATGGTCAGACGATGATAGATGCGCCAAGTTCTCTCTCTGCGCGATGATCCGACCGACGAGAGAACTCCCGAAATCGATTTCTGCCGTCGGTCGTCGCCTCACGATGTAACCCCACGACGTAACGCGATTTCCCCATTAGCTTAACCGCGGACGGAGTTAGCCACAGTTCGGCGAAGTAAGACCCCGGCACGAGACCTCTGCAACATCATCGACGTCGCTTTCACGTCTCGTCGCGTCCTGTCGCGTTCGTGGCCCCGGACGGATCCGTCGGATTGCCAAATGCCAAAAGGCTTCTATAGCCTGGAAAACGAAAAATAGGACGACGACGACGACGACGACGACGACGACGACGACGACGATGACGACGACGACGACGACGACGACGACGACGACGACGACGACGACGACGAGTCCTCTCACGCAGCCTGTTTACAGACACACGCGTCGCAGGACGTCGGACCGCGCGGTGATGAATTGTACGACAAATTGAACGCAGATTAAACCGAGTTCCATCCATCGACTGTGCGAGTTAACGAGATAATAATCAAGTCTGCTGGGGTTTCCGAGGGTCGGCGCGTGATCTTAATTGGGAAAGTTTACGCGAAGTAAAGGCCGACTTTGACCAATTGGGATCGCCTCTATTAGACATTCAGGAATAAATAAAACGAAAGCAAATCGAAAGTCTTGCAATCTCCTCCCTGAGACTCGATCATCCTCTTCGGCTTATTGAAAAATCCTTTACCTAAGAATTTTTATCCGTAATATTTAACGCGATTCAACCGTGGAATTTTCTCCGCGCAGAAAATTTGTATTGCGCTTGAAATCATTAAATTAAAACTTCTTAACGATCGGCAAATGACCGTGCGATGTTGTTGACATAGCAATTATCG